GATATCATCTATACTTGTCCCATCTATGCCTCGTCCACACTGTGCCTCGACCCCACTGTGCTACCGTTTTTTTTTTTTAATTAAACCACGTATGCAACGTATAAAGACGTACATTTTTTTATGAAATATTGAATTTAGCTTAACTGTTATTTTAACTAAATAAGGTTGAACATTAAAAAGCTAAAATGAAGTTAAAGCGTTAATTTATTTAGTTAGTTGGTTAGTTTTTTAACTCGTTTCTTTTTTGATGGGTTTAACTTTTAAATTTAATCAACTACGTTTTTAATTTGAATAATGTGTTAAATTTAAGTACATTACAAAAATGTAAAAATAAAGTTAAATTTATTTTCTAGTTACTTCTAACTTATCCAAGTTAAGAAATATACATAAGTTAGCTTTTAATTTGACTTAATATACTACTTTTTAAATTAACCCTAATCAGTTAAAAAATGTGCTAACTTGCTCAGTTTTGTAAAATATAATATAATATTTTTACAGGACTTAAATCATTCTCATTACAAATGATTAGTTATGGCTGAAAAAGAATGCACACAGAAAAATACCAGGGATGTAATTAAAACTATGACGTTTATATTATTTTTGACATTATTTATGTTTTATTGTATGGGCAATGAAACGAAAGACGATTACGATTGTCGTCAATTAGAAAATTCATCGGTTGCATTAAAAAATCGTAAATACGTTCTTGTTTCCAAACTTTACCTAAATGTTTTACTATAAAGTTTTTTTAGAAACTGTAATACTCGATGAAAAAGCTTTCAAAAATGGTTTCACTGTGTGGGATGACAATTGCCGCATTCCTAATGTCAGTGCTTTCGACGATTCAGTTAAAAAATTCGTGAAAAAGGAAAAATCTCCAAAATGCTCTTCCCTTCCATCTGTAACTTCTGTAATTCTTGATGTTAAATCATGGACGTATACCCTTAAAATTAACAAGTTTTACCAAAACAAAGCTGATTTAAATATATCTTGTTGCTATTCATCAATACACAGAAAATATTTAAAAAGCAAACGATCATTCAATGATGATGATCGTTACACGTGAGTTTCAAAATTAATAATATTATAGCTTTGTAAAAATTATTGGGTTTTTCACTTACCAAATTTAAAATTAATAATATTGGTTTTTATTGAATTG